AAAAAAAAAAAAAAAAAAAAAAAGACAATGGTGATGGAATGTTGTCCCACGTATTAATGACAGGGGAAGAGCAACGTTTGGTGATAAAATTAAGTGTACCAGAAAAGCATGCCTTTATTTATTTATTAATTATTAATTAATTAATTAATTAATTAATATTATTTATTTGTGTATTATTATTATTATTATTATTATTATTATTATTATTATTATGGGTATGGTCCTCATAATTCCACAGCCACAAAGTCAGAATTGGCTACAATCAGACAGAAATCCCCACTCTCAATATTACCAACTCTCTCTCTCTCTCTCAATAGTTAACTTGTTTGCTGGGCTCGTGAAATAAAGTAATACGTCACTAAATCACGTGTCAAGTGCTAAATAAAAGAAGTAGGTACGATACTGTCCTCTTTGAACTTCTCTTGTCAGGTTTTTCCTCAAGGTTTTTGAAACGTGTTTACTAGGAAGAGGTTTCCACATCCTTATAAACGATGGTTCTTCGTTTCCCTCTCCAACTGATGTGGGATCTCATGATAAATATCGGTAATAGTTCTAACCTAGGGGATGTTACGAGTTGGATTTGTATAGCTTGAGTTCAAGGAGTGGTTGTATGTTTGATGTGTAGATATGGTAATCTTATGGAAGAAAGTCAGTCAACGTGTTTGATAATTTTAAGCTATGGAATGTAACAGAAAGAAACCGTAAAAGTACTTCAATGTGTATCCAATGGTTACGAAAAAGTCATGCAGATTGTCTGATATACATCCAACGGTTGTTAAGAAACAGTCACATTGTGAAAATCTCGTTGTTAGGACTTGGGACGTTTCTTGTTCAAGCCCTCGAGTTGAAAACTTAATAATTTTACGAGACTAGTAAGTATATAATACATGGAGCAGAGCCTTCAATGCTGAAAAGACACAAAGTCTTCTACTTTAAGGTTCTTAGAAGCTACTTTAGAACCTTTTTTCAAACATCATATCGACAGTTGATTGTGTTGAATGACGGCCATAGTTTCATAGGTAGAAAAGAGAATCTCTAGTACGTTTTAGGACAAACAGTTGGTAAAAATACCTAAATCGACCAAAAAAGAACCTCTTCTTTTGACATGCTGACTCAAATATTAGTTCGGTCCATGGCATCGATTCACGACATCGAACATGGGCGAACAATATCAATGGAAAAAAGAATTGATATCACAAGGATTCGCTTTTGTTCTAATACTATGTTAAACTAGAAATAACGGGACGATGGGTGTATGGTTCGTATCCGAATGCGGGTGACTCGCTGAGTCAAAGCAGTAAAAGGGATATTGTTTTGAGAGTTTGATAGGGACTAGTCCTTGTGTTTAGCACATGGAAGGCCATGTTACTCTTGTCCCCAAGTCTTCTTGTGAAGAAGACAACATAGTAAGGCAGATCACTCCTAACTACTTGAAAACTGCTACTTTTACTTTGTTATAACCATAACCATAGCCATATTCCCCTTACCCTCGACTTACGATCTCGATCGCCAGCTGCTGCACGAACCGAGAAACAAGCATTTCAATTCTGGCAGTCTGGCTAGCAGAGGTTAGCCTCAATGTGGGATGTCGTCGTCGAGATGACCGGTTTGATAGGCATGCTGAAGATGTAGCCTGCAGCAGGCCGCCACATTAGTTTTCTGGTTGGGAGTTTGGGTGTAATCTGCAGCAACTCAAACCACAATATGCATACATTCCATATGGTTGAAAGACGTCTAGAGTATAAGTGTGAGATACCATATTGGTTGGGGAGGAGAACGGAACACCCTTATAAAGGGTGTGGAAACCTCTTCCTAGCATATATGTTTTAAGAACCTTGAGGGGAAGCTTGAAAGGGAAAACCCAAAAAGGACAATATCTGCTAGTGGTGGGCTTGAGCCGTTACAAATGGTATTAGAGCTAAACATCCGGCGATGTGCTAGTGAGAAAGTTGAGCCCCGAAGGGGGTGGATATGAGGCGGTGTGCCAGCAAGGACGTTGGGCCCCAAGGGAGGTGGATTGTAGGGTTCCACATCGATTGGAGAAGGGAACGAGTGCCAGCGAGGACGCTGGACCCCGAAGAGGGATGGATTGTGAGACCCCACATTGGTTGGGAGGAGAACAAAACACCTTTTATAAAGGTGTGAAATCCTCTCCTTAGCAGACGCGTTCTAAGAACCTTAAGGGGAAACCCGAAACACGAAACACCTTTTATAAGGGTGTGGAAACCTCTCCCTAGCAGACGCGTTCTAAAAACCTTAAGGGGAAGCCCGAAACACGAAACACCTTTTATAAGGGTGTGGAAACCTCTCCCTAGCAGACGCGTTCTAAAAACCTTAAGGGGAAGCCCGAAACAGAAAATCCAAAGAGGACACTATCTGCTAACGGCGAGCTTGAGCCGTTACAATAAGAAACCTAGATTAGAAGCACAATGAAACAATGATTGATCGGGATGGAAATTGAACATTTCAACCGATCAAGAAATTGATGGAGCTAATATAAAACTCGAGGATTGGATCGTGTTGTACCTCGTAAGAAAATTTGCGAAACAAGAGCAAGATTGATACGAAATCGTCACAATGAACATGGCTGCACATGCAGGTCCAAACCAAAAGAAGGGCCATAGGGTCCCATCCCCATTAAAAGCCATGTACTGGAGAAAGGTCTGTGATTGATCATGTGTATTCTGCAACATCCTATGAACTTTGCCCTGAAATTTTCCTTTGATATGCGATGCCTATATGTTTCAGAAGGAAGAAATCATATCAATTACAGAGAAAACAGAGTACAATTGACGACAAGTTTCATAATAATACTGTTTGAATTAGAATGATGGGATCAAATATTACAACCTTCCAGTATTTTCGCTCGAAAACGTCGGTTCCGAACACTAGTAGTCCAGCCCTGATCTGTCAAGATCATTTTGCAAAGAGCTAATAATGAACAATTCACTATCAAGCAGCAAAATGAAAATCTTATTCATAATAACATTTTAGAAGTTAATGAGTTCTTTATGATGATCATACAAAGTCACCTAAATTTAGAAATGGTAAAGATTCTGAATCTGTTCAAACCAAACAAGAAAGATCAAATCACAATTCATGATAACATTATTTAATCTTCCACTTGCAGATAGATAGCATAGGGAGAGCATTAGAACACAGATCAAATAGGTAGCAACAGCGAAAGCAAAAGATAAAAAGCAACGGGGTGGGGCCTTTACAGTGGAAGTTAGAGGGTTAAGATCAAGTGATATCAATCACAAAGGTCCTTGTGCTAACAACTTTGTCATCGACTAGTGTTTCGATGCAACATTGGTTAAACTAATGGAAAAAGAGGTGGAATTCATACTCAACTTAGTTTAGAAAAGAACCTTGTTGATCATTGGAAGATACCTGCATTTGAAAAGCTTGGCAGCTCATACTGCAAGATTTCAAACCATAAACAAAATGAATGATTAAACATAATGGTTAATGTTACTCCTAGTTCTTGGGATATAATCTTAATGAAGCTCTATAAAAGGTTTTTGCAACTATTAACAAAGAGATGGACAGTTAAAAGTACTAACAGTTGAAGTGTGATATCCCATGTCGGTTTGGGAGGAGAACGAAACACCGTTTATAAGAGTGTGGAAACCTCTCCCTAGCAAGCGCGTTTTAAAAAATCTTAAGGGGAAGCTCGAAAGGGAAAGCCCAAAGAGGACAATATCTACTAGCGGTGGGCTTGGACCATTACAAATGGTATCAGAGCTAGACATCGGGCGATGTGCCAGCGAGGAGGTTGTTCCCCGAAGAGGGGTAGACACAAGGCGGTGTGCCAGTAAGAACGCTGGCCCCGAAGGGGGGTGGATTTGACAGGGGTCCTGCATCGATTGGAGAAAGGAACGAGTGCCAGTGGGAACGTTGGGACCTGAAGGGGGGTAATTGTGATATCCCACATCGGTTGGGGAGGAGAACGAAACACCCTTTATAAGGGTGTGGAAACCTATCCCTAGCAGATGAGTTTTAAAAAAACTTGAGGGGAAGCCCGAAAGGGAAAGCCCAAAGAGGACAATATCTACTAGTGGTGGGCTTGGACTATTACAAATGGTATCAGAGCTAGACACCGGGCGATGTGTCAGTGAAGAGGTTGTTCCCCGAACAGGGGTAGACACAAGGCGGTGTGCTAGTAAGGATGTTGAGCCTCGAAGGGGGGTGGATTTGGTAGGGATCCCACATCGATCGGAGAAAGGAGCGAGTGCCAGTGGGGATACTGGGCCTTAAAGGGGGGTGGATTGTGATATCCCAACTCGGTTGGGGAGGAGAACAAAATACCCTTTATAAGGGTGTGGAAACCTCTCCCTAGCAAACGAGTTTTAAAAAACCTTGAGGGGAAGCCCGAAAGGGAAAGTCCAAAGAGGACAATATCTGCTAGCGATAGGCTTGGGCCATTACATGAAGGCTTCTCTCCCTGAGATGTACACGACATACATGTCAGAATATATATGCCAAGAAGCAACCGCTGGATTGTAAACTCATGCATACTTCCAGCCAAAACAAAGTTGAAAACATTGAATGATGACATTCTAATTCATGTACTGATTTCTTAAAATTGCAGCTGATATGTGTCTATGTGCATGTCTATCATCCTTTGGAAAGAGAGTGCCGAGTGTCCCAAGAAAAAGATAGGCAAGTCAGGAAATTAACAAAGCTGTGCTTGAACATCGTTATCTACACCTGGACTTGATATCATCAACCTTACTTTGTCATCTACGTTCAACAATCTGAGCTTTCGAGTAATAGAAAAGAACTAAGCAAGAAAAGATCATGACATGTAGCTACCTCATCAAGATTAATGGCTTAGTTTCTTGTTCAAAGAAGTATATATGAAAGCTAAAACTCTCCATAGGCTCAATGAAACGTTTTCATCATGGCACCTCATGATAAACCATTCCCCCATAAAAATAGGTTACTTAAGCAGTTTAACTTTACAAAAGGTTATATGAATAAACGCTATTCAACACTATCCAACAGCTTTATACAGCCATTCTTTTCTCTCAAATTGCCTCAAATGCTCTATCTCATTCCACAAGCTAAAACCAGCATAGCATAATGAATATCCGAGCATTCTAAGGATCCAATTCAAGTGCCCTACGGTTGAGAATTGTTGGAAGGGAGTCTTACATTGGCTAATTTAGGGAATGATCATGGGTTTATAAGGAATACATCTTCATTGGTATAAGGCCTTTTGGGGAAGCCCAAAGTAAAGCCATGAGAGCTTATGCTCAAAGTGAGTGATATCATACTATTACGGAGATCTGTGATTCCTAACATGGTATCAGAGTTATGCCCTTAATTTAGCCATGTCAATAGAATCCTCCAATGTCGAACAAAGAAGTTATAAGTCTTGAAGGTGTAGTCAAAAGTGACTTAAGTGTCGAACAAATGGTGTACGAAGCTGATATGACTGTCGCAAAAGCTACACTATCTGGTTTGATCCCTTCCATCAACATCTGGTTGTACGGTTCAATCGGTTTCTACCATATACACTAAAATAGAAGTCCATACTAGAATATCCCTTTTCTTTTTGTCCAAGTCCTGCGAAATTGAATACATGCCATGCTATTTCTACTATGCCACCCTTCCCAAACATTTCAATTAATGTTCTTTGTAGTTCCTCATCACTGGTAATATCATAAACCGTTCGTAGTAGATAAGCATGCACTTGCTCACCTAGTGTCATTGTAGTGTTAGAAATCACGACTCTCCACAATGGTATGATATTATCCACTTTGAGTATAAGCTCTCGTGGCTTTGCTTTTGGTTCCCCCCGAAAGGCCTCGTACCAATGGAGATAGTGTTCCTTAGTTATAAATTCATTATCTTCCTCTTAATTAGTCAACATGGGACTACTCCTCTCAATAATCCTCAACAAGATAAACTAGCGCATGCACGTAAAAGAGCTGAATCCAAATCGTGCATCTCCCATAGCAATTCAAGTCCATGGACCCACATCCTAGCCTTGCCATATCTAGCCAATAGTGCATTTGTACACACAATATTCCTCATGGGCATTTCATCAAACACTTCATCTGCATCACTAATCAGTTAAATTTTTGCATACATTCAATTCAAGTCCATGCACCCACATCCTAGCCTTGCCATATCTAGTCAATAGTGCATTTGCACACACACAGTATTCCTCATGGGCATTTCATCAAACACTTCATCTGCATCACTAATCAGTAAAATTTTTGCATACATTTTTCAATGATCGCACTCCCCACAAAAACACTACATAACCAACTTGATTACCCCACAAAATCGTGCATCTATTTTTCATACACCGCATTATGAACAAGCGAAAATGCACTCAAAGTGCTGCAACGGACATACGTATGAATAGAACTCCATTTAAAAGAGAAATCCGCAGACCCATGTCGAAAAAACTGAGAAATTATGACGTTGAAGGTTAAAGAACTTCTGGGGATGATGCATTTGAAGACGCTGCTTAAGCTTTGCAAATGGAAATTGGGGGTGGGGTTTGGGAGTAAGATTGAATGAGCTTATATAGTGAAGGTCAGGGGAGAAAAATTGGAAGTGTGTTCTAAGAAGATAGGCGTGAAGCTTATTAATGGCACAAGAAACTGGCGAAGAAATCGGGACTTCGTCTAATATGAAAATGGTGAGGGCTCGAAATCAAAAGAATGGGTATTTGGTAACTTTACGTTATTAGCTCAGAGGTAATTTTGTCATTGGCACAATACCGTTATGACGGTTAAAAAGCTACCGTTATGACGGTTAAAAGGCTACCGTTATGACAGTTAAAAAGCTACAGTTATGGTCGGTTTAGCAAACAAGGGCAGATTCGTCTTTCAAAAAAGGATTTTATTTTAAATATTTTTAAAAGCTTATTGTTTTCTTTTTAGTTTCTGAATTATTTTAGAATCTTTATCAAATTCTTTAAATGAAAAGTTGATTTATGGAGCTTTTTTATTTTATTTTTAATTATTTTTAATTCTTTTAATAAGAAACGGACTTAGGTCTTGTTATTTCTATTTTTAATTTATGCAAAATAAAAGCATTTTTTTTTTCAAAAACGAAAATTAGGGTCATGCTAATTGGAAACATAGATAATGTTGAGACTCAAAGTTACGTTGAGAGACCTTGGCCCGAAGTCGAGGCAAGGTCGAGCCGAATGACTTAGATTCTGCACAAGTTGTGTTTGGTCGACGAAAACAAACATCGCCTAAGGTGCAAGGAAGCCACAAAGTCAGACAAAAAATGAATATGAGGCGGGTTCCCTTCAAGGCTTGTCGTGAGCACGTCAAGATTATGGCACACTCGGTTGAAAATGTACAACCGTGACATTAAGCATTAGATAATTTATCTTCGAAATATTTGGTAAGAAATTGCTTATGTTGAATTGTTTCAATTTGTTTTAGTTTTTAATTGTTATGCTTTCACATTATTAGTAGAAGGAACGTTAAAAGTAACATTTCTTCTCATAAAGCCATTTTCTTAGGAGGATTAAAAAAATTGAGAAGCCTTGCAAAATAGAAAGGGAAATGAAAATCCCCACCTTACAAAAAATTGTACTTTTCATTCGTTTCGAAGTGCAAAAAAAAAAAAAAATCTACAACCAAAGCTTAGATGTGGATCTCACAATTCCACGTTGGCTGAGGAGGAGAACGAAACACTCTTTACAAGGGTGTGGAAACCTTTTCCTTAGCATACGCGTTTCAAAGCCTTGAGGGAAAGCCCGAAAGGGAAAGCCCAAAGAGGACAATATCTGCTAGCGGTGGGCTTGGGCTTGGGCCGTTAGACTAGAAGTGACTTCGATGAAAATATCTTCTCTGACTGGAATAGTTAAGCTGCCCATTGAGTGACCAAAGCCAAATTCTTCAAATCTCTTAAGCAAATCCTGAAATGAAGGTTATTTCAAGTATGATATAGGAACAATATAGCGTTTATTAAGACTCTCTCCTACATAAACCGCAAAAAAGCCTTTAGGAACCTCCAATGATGTTGATATTGTTTTCTTTCACTCAAAATGCACCATTGAAGAACTTTCTTTGTGAGAATGGCATTCCGTAAACGGATTACCATGGCGGTTTTTCGTTCTTGGTTCGACGAAACTCTTTACATAACAAACAATGAAGAGAAAATTGCAGACTTGGGTTGCTTTCAACCATGAGTTTACATCTATATTTATATCGATAGATCGGTGGAAGAGGATGATATCATTATTGAAGTTCTAAGGCAATGGAGAAAGAAGCAGGAGCAGAGTTCACAAGGGTTTCACATGGCTTTGTCTTCCAACTTGCGGTTCGGGATCGGCCGAGAAAGTAACAGAGTCTTTGTTTGGTCCTAAACAAATTTCCTACAGAATCAGCCATAACCCAAATGAAGGAGAAGATAGGGAAGGGAAAGCTGGGTGGATGAGTGCCTTAGATGTAGGCGTGCAGTTAGGTGGCTCTTGGGTTATAGAGGGAGGGAAGGG